TCTCCTGCTGCCAATACAGACCGGGAACTTACAACATTCCTGGTTCCAATAAAGATTCCCATTTGAGGCTGTTTTGAAATGCCGTGATCATTATATTTAGGTTCCACGGGGGCTTTCAAAATGTATAGAATTGCAATCAGAGAGATCTTTTTGAAGAGTTTTGTCGGATAACTAAGCTGCTGTATCCAGGGAGCCATACGTCATGTGCAGTTGGTTTGAAGAAGAGTAATGCCACAAGTTTGGTGCGTTTGGGGAGGGCGGGCTCTTCCATTTCATTCTGACAGAAGATAACAAAAGCCAGAAGTCGTAAGTGTCCCGTTGCCAGTTTCTGTATGCCTGGATGAAAGGGGCAGCAGCGCTTTGGGAGTGAGGGAAGACTAGATTCCTCAGCAGAAGTGACACTAATGCTGAAGAATTACTAGCATTATAATGTTTTCCCACATTGTTGTCAAAACGGACGACTGCAAAACCACATTAAACACGCTGGGTCTCCCCAGGGATCATCTGTGCCCTCTGCACTGTACTCTATTCTTGACAATTAATGAAAAATAAGAAACTCAGGGAAAGATCAATGTATGAAAGATGTATCCAGTGATGTTATTACAGTAAAAGCAAACATTGTGGGATCAATCAGAACCAGTTTTAACCACAACAAAGTCCAAAAATATGCTAACAAGTTCATAGGGAGAGAGACAGACACTCAATACCCTCCTTCATGTGGACTATAGACATATCATGCTGGAAAATCAAATAAGTTAATTTTATCTTTATCTTTAGCTCCTTTTAATGAGACAAAAAAGTAAAAAGTTAGTAGAAAGAGTAGAAGAAAGCGAGTACTGCGGAAGAATACCGCCAAAATATGTCAAGTAGCACAAGACTTCTGATTAAAAGCACTTTCTAAGCCATATCTTGCTGGAGTTTGATCTTTCTCAGTCTGACGATTGTTACCACTTATAATTAGAGTAAATGAGTCACCAGAGGCCAAATGTAAAAAATGCATAGAGCCTCGTCTTCTACAGGCTGCCGTTATTAGGGTTAGAAAGCACAGACTGGCAGTGAGTATGTTACAAATTTATTCTGAAAAATGCCTCTAAAACGGCTCTAATTGGAGTGACAATCTTACAGCCTTTTCCTTTGTACAAAAACAAAACATATTTTTGTGTTTTTCTCAGTGCATTACCGTTAATTTAGATAAGCTTCCACTAAACGCAGTGGACTTGGACGACCTTTTCAGTCAGGAAGCCTCGAGGCGCGCAGAGGCATGAGTCAGGAGTGAGTAGGACTTGCATGTTTACCTACGAAAAACGCATGTGTTCACTTTCCCCTTTGACAAACGCAGGAAAAACCAACGTCGGTGCCAGATCTAGACCCAAAACCAACGGGAAAAGGATCGTAAAATATCCTCAGAAGTCGACACAGTAACACAGAAACAAGAATAGGGTCCAGGCAATTTAAAAACAGGGCTAAACTTGTCTGTTTCTGCGAAGGATTAAGCTTCGCCAAAGGGTCTGATTTAGCGCCGTCATCTGCGGAGAGCTGGGAAAAAAGGAGGATTAACAACATTCTGCATCTACGACTTCAATTTGATGTGATGGAGATAAAAAAAAGCCTTTGTCATCGTAATTATTTCTGAGAAGTGACGCTTTTAAATCGGTTAGAAGCCGCCGGGGGAATATTAATATACTCCTCGAACGGTGATGGACTGATCGGGTCTGACGGTGATTGGCAGATGGATGGAGGCGTCCTGGAATTTTCTGTTTAAAGCCATTGTGCGTAACTTTGATTCGTGGAATACATAAAGAAGAAGCACATGTTGGAATATCCTTTTTTTTTTTTTTTTTTGCAAAGTACCGGAGATTACTTTAAAGCTTAAGGTAAAAAAACGGCTTCCTCCAAGACAAATATGAGCCGGGTTTGAAGAGGTGTAAACTCACTCACATTTGGGACGCGCCCTTTTTTCAGCGCGGTCCAAAAAGTTGCATGGTGTGTTTTTAAAATGGTAGTAGATGTAATGCTCACACAAAAATACTGTAAACTTGGAGCTAATTAAGTATTCGAATCATTATGGTGAACGGAGAGACGGATATGGCCAAAAACTTCAGCTAATTTGCTTCATGGCTTCACATTTTGTACTCCCCCCATGAGAACCTATGTCATTTAGATCAAATAATTAATCGAATTGATGCCGTTTTTGGTCAGTTAATGAATCATGAAGCGATTAATTGACAAAACTATAACCCCATAATGATAAATAATTCAATTGTCACGTAAATCAGTCTTAAAACTAAACCTATATTGGTCCATTCTTGCACATCTCAGCTGCTTGGGTCACGATAAAGGCAGAAAGCTACTTCTCTGGGACGATAAAGGCAGAGAGCTACTTTTCTGGGACGATAAAGGCAGAGAGCTACTTCTCTGGGACGATAAAGGCAGAGAGCTACTTCTCTGGGACGATAAAGGCAGAGAGCTACTTCTCTGGGACGATAAAGGCAGAGAGCTACCCCTTTAATCCCTGGGGAAAAATGTGTGATTTTTTGTGCGAACAAGGCTGATATTTTTACAGTATTTATCGTCACATATTTGTTCCTAATGAATCTGAATATATCCTTGTATGTATTATATATAAACAGATGTATACTATTCTACTATCTGTGTATGTATGTAGTATGAATGTAGTATTCACCGATATACAGTATATATTCCTGAGTACTTCTATCCAGATTGTTCTATTCTCACAATATCATCTTACTATTATTCTTATTTTCAGATTGTTACTTTAATGTTATTTTTATTGTGAAAAACCATGCAAGCGACTGTGACTAGGTCTAAATCTGAATTATTAAGTACATAATTTGATTCGTTCATTTCTAAATCCTTTGGCGAGCTACCCGTAGCTCCTGAGCTTCATGTTAGAGACCCCTGACGTAGCGACCAACACAAAGTAGATATTTTTGAAACGGAGAAAGTAAAACGCTGCTGTACAGACGAGGGCTGATGAACACAGTTTGATGTTGGATATTGACTTTAAACCTGTCACTGCTTGCCTCCTCTTTGCGAGTACAAACCCATCACCGTCCTCTGCCTCAGCCATTTCTACCATAATTCTAATTGACCCTCAATAATTCTGCACGGCCCATTACGCGCCACAATCTTGTAACAACCCCGCTCTCCTGTTTCCTCTGCCTCTCTCTATCTCTGTATGTGTGTGTGTGTGTGTGTGTGTGTGTGTGTGTGTGCGCGTGCGCGCGGCTGACCTACTGGGCCGGCTTCAAGTTTCCTCCTCAGTCTCTGTCACCAAACATTATTACTTGTCTGCGCGGCCTGATATATGAACACCACTATGTCCTTATGACGACCGAGGCGAGCGGCGAACCCCCCACGCCATATCCGCTTGATTTAAGAGGCGCACTCTAGAGCCCCTCGCCGCCGTCGCATGAGGCTGGAAATGTGATGTCAGATGAGGAGGTGATTGCAAAAGAGATTTCAGCGCGAGTCTAAAGTGCCCGGTAAGAACAACACGGCGGTCTCCCAGTTGGATTGGTATTGATGAATGAAAACAACTGGCTATCAACCCTGATTTGGGCTTTTCCATTTTAACTAATGGCCTCATGTGGTCTCGGTTCAGGCAGTAATGAATGAGGAGATGAGGCACGGAGATAAACAGGACATTTGTTTTACTATGAAACGTAATACTCCAGAAATTAAATAAACATTTTTGCATTGGTTGATGGATTAACTGTTGAGTCACAATCCAAGCAACTTAGAAATGACATTAGAATTCTTATGTGTGGTCTATGGTCTTACTGTACTGTCTATGATAGAGAGAATAACCAATGATGTATTTCTTCTATGAACCAATAGCTCTTATGTGTTTGTTATTGTGGCATTTTCCTTTGTTAGAACTGTCTGATTTTCTGATCTGACGGTTTAAATGTACAACAAAAATACATTGAATTGAATAATCCCATGTGGATCCAAATCGCACTAAACATAAATTATTCACATTAAGCTTATTCCTGCTTTGGTATCGCCACTCTGACCTGTAATTAACTTATAATCTTGCTTACATGGCCAAATAACCTACTCTAGATTGACGTCAGGCTAATCCAATCCACTGTAGTCTCTGATTTGTCTCGTCCAGTGCCGCTTTATCTCCGCGCGTAAAGTCTGTGCGTAAAACCTGTGCCAAGAGGTCTCTCCAAAAGCGCGTTGCGACTTGGTTTCAAAATCTGGCACAGAAATGACAACACTTCTACTTCTTGGAGCAAAAAAAATACAGCTCCGAAAGAGGTAAGAGAAGATCCACAGGTAAACATCAGCGCTCCCTAATAACAGGTTGGAGCCGAGATAAGAGAGAAAAAGGGGGGAGGGTGGAAAGACTCCCAACTGGCTTTAAGATTATCATTACAACAGACGGGACTTGTTAACAATACAAATGTTAAGGCGCTGATGGACTACCACAGAGCCATTACTCCACTGAGATTTACTTTTCCAATGCAATCACACCTTTCTGGCAAGCTACAAGTCCATTTTTATCCCAAATATTCATATCATTTGGAACCACATGCATAGAAGCAAATACCACAAAACCATCCTTCCAAGCAGTCAACTCCGAAATTTACACACACTACATTAAATCTATAACCCTCATAAACAGCAAAACAACCAACTCCACAGTCAAATATGTCTCCCTTTAACGCACCATATATTCTCTTTCTCTCTAATAACAGTCATTAAAGTCATACAATCATATATAATGCCTTATTTCTTATCATACCAGTTATGAATGTCATTTGTTTCTGTATATAATGGAAATATTTGTGTTTGTGTCTTCGTCATTGTTTGTATTGCTGAATATGTATTTGTCTTTTTGTAATAATAAAAACATTAAAACTTTTCCAATGCAACTCAGAGAAGCCACAACAGCAGACGGACCCATGCATGCCATCATATATATATATACACGTACACGTACACGTACACACACTCTGTTGACTTACTTTGGGTTGCTGCTGTTCCAGTAGACGCTGTGTCGCTCTGTAGACGCACACCACGCACAAATGCTCAGAAGGCAGCCCGCAATACAAAGCAAATCCATGCTGGCGATGCCTCCGGGAGATGTGTTTGCAAAGAACGAAGAGAAGTCAGTGCAAAACTCTGGGACCAGTGTGAGCCGCGCGCGTAAAAACCAAAAAACAGTGAAAAAGAGCTGAGAAAAACATGGAAATACTGGTACAACGAAAGAGTGATAACAAGTGGCGTGAGGCGTAGTCACTCCCACGGATCCGTAGTGAATGAATGTGTCGCTTCTGTGCGAGGTGGTTTTCTGAAACGCCCACAATTGTAGGCCACGCCCACTACAGCAGCGCGTGCCAATCAGAGCCACGTCCGAAAAGCGCTATAGAGAGAGATAGAAAAAAACCAAAAAGAAACAGCCTTGATCCGTGGGTTGTTTACATGTTGGACAGAGCTACTATGTGTGATTCGTGTGGCTGTAATTGACGTTAAGTGCAAAGTTTTTCTCTCTTTCAGAATGATCTTGGAGTGTGATGTGTGTTTTTTGTTAGGAGGAGAGGAGGAGAGAGGAGAGGAGAGGAGGAGAGGAGGAGAGAGGAGAGGAGGAGAGGCTGCTGATGTGTGGATGCTGAGGCTGACGCATTAGAAGCTCGTTGACACAATGTAATTACACACAAACACGGGCAACATAACGTTCTGCCGCAGCTGCAGTTATCTGTCCGCGCTGCCTCTCTCTCTCTCTCTCTCTCTCTCTCCCTCTCTCTCGCTCTCTCTCTCTCGCTCTCTCTCTCCCTCTCTCTCTCTCCCTCTCTCTCCCTCCCTCTGTCTCTCTCTCTCTCTCTCTGTCTCTCTGACTCTCTCGCTCTCTCTCTCGCTCTCTCTCTCTCTCATTGATTGGATTTAACATCTTGTCGTGAATCAATAACATTTGTCTTTACGTCGTGCGTGACTGGGGTTTGATTTAATTTGGTCTGAAAACAAGATTGTATTGATCTGTGTACAGTGGACACTGGTCATGTCTGTGCACATTACCACTGCACAGTCTCAACCAATCAAAGCCCACTATAGATGCACTTTAATGTAATGTAATATAATTCATGTATATACTAGCATTAGCAGCTTGTACAGTCTCATGTTTGCAAATGTATCTATCCATCCATCCATCCATTTTCTACCCTTTAATCCATTTCTGGGTCAGGGGGGTGACAGTCAGAGATGCCACCCAAGTCTCATAGCACCAGCCCCTCACTGACCCTCTGCAGGTGGTGAGTCCACAGGAGGACGGCTGCTCTCTGAGTGTGAGCATAGCCTTGATCTTTCAGTGGGGGCTTTTGGGCAAAGTGGGGTTAAGTGTCTTGCCCAAGGACACAACGACAGCAGTCATCAGTGGGAGTCGGTGGAGAAGGTGCAGAGGTGGGAATTGAACCCACGACCTTCAGGCCTGAAGGCCAATGCTCTACCAACTGAGCTACTGTCGCCCCCAAATGTATCTATCTGTGTTGTAAATATTATCCTATACTTGCACTATTGCACTGGTTAGACTCTAAACTGCATTTCGTTGCATTGTTCTGACTTTGTAAAGACAATAAAGTTTAATCTAATCTAATCTAAACATGTGTTACAGCTGAGAAGTGAGTTTAGTTTTTGTTTGCAAATTCACAACATCAAAAATGCAACTTACCCAGACCATAAAACAATGAAATACACATATATAGTTGTGTCCTTGGGCAAGACACTTAACCCCACATTGCCTGAAGCCCCCGCTGACGGAGCAGCCATCTTCCTGTGGACCCACCCCCTGCAGAGGATCAGAGGGACTGGTGCTATGAGACTTGGGTGCAGCTCTCATTGTTACCCCCCGACCCAGAAATGGACAATAAAGGGCTTGAAAAATGAATGATTGAATACACCCAACTCTTATTGAAGTTTCCAAGTAACAATATCTGAAAACAGTTTGAAAAGCATGGTCATTTGGATTCTCTTCTGTATTTTATTAAACATATTTTTTAACGATTTTTGCAACCTATAGAAAGACAAAAGGGACAAAAAAACAAATTAAAACCATATCAGTCTAATGTATGCAACATGGATAATTCTATGTCATGAACAGCTCTTGGGTTGTGCCTGCAGTATAAACAGTATCCAACAGTATTTAACAGTATCTAACAGTATTTAACAGTATCTAACAGTATCGAACCCTACATTTCATATTTACCCCATATTAAAATTCAAGGTTTTTCATCTTCATCTTGCATTGCCCCAATTTTGTAAAAAGCAATTCTCCAAAGTGCAAATACATTCAGAAGCAGCTGCTCCTGTACAGTTTATGTCTGATCAGTATCATTTTAATAGTAGTTTTGACGGCGCAGCGAGGATCAGTCTCGGCCATGTGCTCCTTGTTGCCAGGGCTCTCACAGTCCGTCCTGATTGGTCCGTGCACTTGTAGTAATACGCACTGTCGGACACATTGCAAATCTCTGGTCTCAGTTGTGTTTGCAGTGACTTTGGGGTGATCGGGAGCGTGGGCGGTTTGTAACCAGGCGTACAGTATCTCTGGGTTTGCGCCTCACATGGCACTTTGTCTGCTCTGAGAGGTGCAGCAGCAAAGTGCTAAAAGAGAAAGGGAAAAAAGGAGGTCAGACACTGGTGCTAATGAACACGGAATTATGCACAACAAGAGAGCGTTTGGATTCAGACTGCTGAGGTCGCCGGGTGTCGGGTCGGGCTTGTGAAATAAAAGTACGGTAATTAAAGTCTGGCCACTTATTTAGCAAAGTGCAAAGTGCAAAGTGCCATGAGCAGTTGTCCGGGTTTAACTTTTGCATCTTTTTCTTATTAGATTCTGGTGATAAATGTTAATCCCATATATTCTCTCACACCTCACCTTAAAGCCACACACTCACACACATCATCACTCACCTATTCTTGTGTTTCATATGACGTCGGGGCAGTGGCGTGAATAACAAACGTGGGACAGGACGTGACGTATAATGGCGGTGCAGTCTGCCGGGTTTATACACAGAGATATAGTAGAAGAAGAAGCGCTGTCAAAATGCCATTTTTTTGTACGGTGTACGCTTGTAGCAACCGCACAAATAGAGAGAAAGACCAGAGTTTGTTCATGTTCCAACTGTGGTCTCATATAAAGAAGGACACTTTGAAAAAGTGTCCTGGAATGAGGCGGGCGAGGTGGATCAAGGCTTTCCCAGATAAGCGCCCCCTGCAGGCCGCCCCAATGAAACGCAGACATTTCTTCTGTTTTTTTTCCAAAAATGCCCGAAATCAAGACTCTTTTGAGAAATATTTGTTAGTACTCTCTTAGAATTGAGTGTCCCTGATTAAGACTGTTACAACCGTACACCGCACAGGAGGAGAGCCTTTGACTCCAAAACAGACTTTACATGGTTTTCACTGGGAGCAACACTGAGTAGTCCCATCTCTGCTCAGTCGCCCCCTACTGGCCAGTTTAATGAAATCCAAGAATTGTGCTTTCTTTTTGTGGTTGGGTAAACCGGAGCACCTGGGGGACACGGGGAGAACATGCAAACTCCACACAGAAAAGCTTCAACTTGAGAACTCGCAGCCCTTGTATATGTCCTGTATATAATCTTGTGTACATTGTATTCTTTGTATGCCTTGTATTGTTACGTCTTGTTTGTTTTTATGTTCTTCGTTAACATCAACCTGCCAGGGGGTCTGCAGATGGAAATTAGCCTAAGGCTATAATCTGGCATATTTACATTGGTCAAATGTTCATTAATATGCATTGTACCTCCTTTTAAAACCCAAATAAATAAATAGGTGGAATCAAACCCGGGACCTTCTTGTAAAGCACACATGTTAACCACTGCGCCCCCATGCTGGGTTTGTGTAGTCATTACAAAACCGTGTCTTAGCAAGAAGGTTCTGGGTTTTCTGAATAAGGTTTGAATGTTGTCCAGAGTTCCTCCTGGCGCTCTGGCTGCAGCTGTGACCTAAAGTGCTACTTCTATTGTTTGCTACTTGTGTTGATTGTTTGGATGGATGTGTTTTTGCTGCTGCTGGACTCCTGCACCGCTCCTTCAGGGATCAATAAAGAATCAATCTGTCTTATCATTTACCTATCAATCTAAACATGTACAAAAGGTAAAATCTTCCAGCTCTGGTCCAAAGCGGACCATTAAAATCTGGAGAAGGTTTTTTTTGCAAAATGGGTCAAATACAGAGGAAAACATTCCCTATGAAGGCAATCAAGTAAAACCTACTCATGACTAAGGCCCCGTTTTTACTGAGGCGCTGCGCAGACGTTTCGAGGCCATTAACAGAAACTACCAGGTTCCTTATGCAAATTTCACAGCGTTCATACAAGGATCAAAAACGATGTAGTTCTAGCGCCCGGCCAGTAGGGGGCAGAGGAACTTTACAACCAAGACATGAAAGATGCACCAACATCATTCTGTATTTTAACAGCAGCTGCGTAAATGGAAACTGAACCTAGAGCTTGGCGTGGTCTCGTTTGGACGAACAAAGGAGTAGAATCCTCCTCCGTGCAGCGCTCGAAGCACATGTAGCTAGTTAATGTAACCACTGCCATTGTTGTTTACATTTGTTCTCGGCTACTGCGCATGTCCAAATGTACGTGTCGGATCAGCAGCAGAGAATTCACACCTTTCGTGTGAAAAAGCCCCCGCTGAGCTTCTGAGCTCAGAATTCTTACGTTTTCACCTGGAACACAGTCTCCGTATGAACGGGGGGTAGCAAACGAACATCCAACTATAGCGTTTTACTGCTGCAATGTCTCCGTATAAACTGGGCCTAAAATGGCCTCGTATTATTCACTGATCAACAATATCTGTAGGTTGCTCTCCCATCAGCTGCACTTCAGTTTGCACTTTCCAGACGATGAGTGAGAAACCTTCCCTTGTTTGGACTAATCCTTGTACGACCGAGACTTTTCACAAACCTGTTTAATGCATTGTTATTTTAAAATGACTTGATCACGGCTGCAGCACAACGTCGTCAAGCAGTCACGGTTTCCTCAAGCTGAGAGCCATCTGAAGGGACAGTAGGAGCCATTGTTATTCAAAGTACTGAGACGGTTAA